CAGAGACTGAGCCAACCACAAAGCTAAAGAATAAAGTTCATTACATCTGTAAGACACAAATAAAAGAAGTAACAGGTCCAGATATAATCAAAGCTCTTGAATCAGATTTTGCTGAGAGAGCAGTGGAAGAAACGAGCATTTCACAAGAAGATGTCTGCTTCATAAGAAAGCCACAAGAAGGAATCAAACAAAAGCAAGATGGACATTATGAAATGCCCTTGCCTTTCAAAGGTGACAGACTAAATCTTCCCAATAACATATCAAGTGCAATGCTACGCTTAAGCAGTCTCAAAAGCAGATTCATAAGGGACCAAAAGTACTACTCGGACTATATAAAGTTCATGGAGGACATTATTGCAAGCGGTGATGCAGAGAAGGTACCGGAGAAGGAACTCTGTAATACCCCTGCCTGGTATATTCCCCACCATGGGGTATACCACCCTCAGAAGCCCAGCAAGATCCGTGTAGTCTTTGACTGTTCTGCACAATATCAAGACACTTCACTGAATGAACACCAGCTTACAGGGCCAGACCTCACAAACACTTTAGTGGGAGTACTCTGTAGGTTCAGGAAGGGCTCAGTGGCTGTAATGTGCGACGTGGAACGTATGTTTCACCAGTTCCATGTAACACCCCAAGACCAGGATTATTTACGCTTCCTATGGTGGGAGCATGGTGATCCAGGTGCCCCCCCTCAGTCTTTCGCATGAGGGTTCACATGTTTGGTGCAGCTTCTTCACCTGGTTGTGCCAATTTTGGTTTAAAACATCTAGCTGCACAAGGTGAGGGAAAGTTCTCTCCAAACACAGTGAAGTTCATTCAAAGAAACTTTTATGTAGATGATGGACTTGTAAGTGTTTCATCAGAAGCAGAAGCAATAAAACTAGTCAAAGAAGCAAGAGAGCTGTGTAACACAGGGAAACTAAGATTACACAAGTTTGTATCAAACAGTGACAATGTGTTAAAGTCACTGCCCAGAGAGGAGTGTGCTGACAGTATTAAAGATTTGGATCTAGCACTTGGAGAGCCACTGATGGAAAGAGCACTCGGAGTTCAGTGGTGCATTTCTTCTGATGAGTTTCAGTTCAGAATAACAGTCAAAGAGCACCCAATGACAAGAAGAGGAATCCTGTGCACAGTAGCATCAGTGTATGATCCACTGGGATTTGTGGCACCCTTCATCCTAAAAGGAAAACAAATCCTGCAACAGTTATGTCAGGAAAAGGTCGGATGGGACGAGCCTCTTTCGCATCAGCTCTACAGAGAGTGGGAATCCTGGCTTCTAGATCTTCAAAATTTGTCAAAGGT